CATCAACAGCTGTCTTCGTTGAAGATCAGATGGTGGGGCAGAAAACATTAGCACTAATGAGGGATCTCTTAGAATGATGTACTAACTTAGCAGGAACCGATTGTGCAACAAATAAACAGGATTATTCAGCAGCCAGTGGGATGGCTGAATCCAATGATCAACCTATGAATGTTAACTTCCATCAAGGTCCTGAGTTCAATCCCAGGCAGCGAGATGATTAGCTACTACTGAAGAGTCCCAAACTAAAAAGAAACAACTGTCCAGGACTCTCTGGTGTTTTGCAATATTTCTCTGACTGATATGATTCTGTTAGTCAAACTTGAAACCGAATCATCAAGCCCGCAACAAGCTACATTTGTTAAGTGTGTGGACGATCTAACTGTTTCAAGGCCTCCATTATTATATTATTATTGTATCCTTTAGTTCCTAGAGGAACATAGGGCTTCAGCTGAGCACCTCCATTGCCTTCGGTTTTCTGACAACTTTTTCACCCTGCTCCAGGTCTGTCCACATGTTTTCATCTCCTCCTCAGATGACCTCCTCCAAGTCACCCTTGGACGACCAACTCGCCGCCTCCCTTTCGGGTTCCACTCGAGCAATGGCTTGTCTAGTGATGTCACTTGATGGTTTCCTCAGCGTATGGCCAATCCATCTCCATTTCTTTCTGCCTATTTGTTTCACAATCGGTTCCTGATTGGTTCGCTCCCAGAGATCCCTGTTGCTGATATTTTCTGGCCATCTGATCTTGAGTATTGAGCGGAGACAGCTGTTAATGAAGGTCTGAAGTTTGTTTGAGATGCTCTTAATGACTCGCCAAGTTTCTGATCCGTATAGTAGCACTGACTTTACATTGGAGTTGAAAATCCGGATCTTATTTTTGATGCTGAGTGCTGTTGACCTCCACACAGATTTGAGAGCAATGAAAGCTTGCATTGCTTTTCCTAATCTGGCTTTGATATCCTCGTCAGTTCCGCCTGTAGTTGAGACGATGCTTCCCAGGAGGTTGTTTCTTTCAGGTTCTTCCCACTTATGCTGATTGTTGTCTGTTGTTGTTGCTGCTGTTGATGTTGGCTAGGAATCTTCATCACCTCTGTTTTATCTATGTTCACTTGAAGTCCTATCTCTGATGCTTCTTCTGCCAACTTGTTACTTTTCACTTGCATATCTTCCAGTTTATGGGAAATCAGACATATATCATCGGCGAAATCCAGATCCTCCAAGTCTTTTGTGTCAGTCCATTTTATGCCTGTTCCCTCGTTGGTTGCCGTTGTCTGTCGCATTATCCAATCAATTGCAATCAGGAAGATCATTGGTGATAGTAGATAGCAAGGCCTCCATTAAGGATAAAATTTTATTTTGATAAATCACCCTGTGTTCGTTATACAGTAATATTAGCTTATGACCGCGTTTCGAGAACAAATTATTGCTCATAATCATATCATGTTATGGTTATGAGTAATAATTTGTTCTCGAAAGGTCATGAATTAATATTACTGTATAACACTGTGTGATTTATCAAAATAAAATCTTATCCATCATGAAGTTATACTCAACCACAGTGCCCAAGTTTTATACTTATATATTGTTTCAAGGCCTTCCAACTCTGACGTCTGACGTTAAATATCGTGGATTAATTCTTTATTCTGACCTATTTTGGTCTTCCCAGACGTCCTAGCGATTTCTAAAAGTATATTTCGTAGGACTTTTTACATTAAGAAGTTGATGCACTCAGGCATAACCGAACCACTCCTCTTACAATTTATCAACTCGTGTATTTTACCTATTCTTCCTTACTTGTTCACCCTTATTCTTTCCTGGATTGCTTAAAAGAAAGACTATGTCATACTTTGGAGAACTCTGAAGACTTGTCAATAGAACGAGTGGTTGTATCTTATTGGGCCATATCGTTGACATTGTCATTTGATAAGCACTTGATTTCATGAGAATCCACTTTAATGGCGGCTTTCAGATTGCATCATCTCCTTCTAAGGTAGAACAAAAAAAGTCATTTCATTAAAAGACTTTATGCGTACACGTCTTAGTATAACAATTCCACGATATTATATTTACCGGCACGTAGTTTATGTAATGAAAATAGTGTGTCAAGCATGAACTAACTAATTAACTAACTAACTAACCTTCTTTGCGTTAGTAAATAAACCATTTTCTCCATCCTTATACCACCAAGTTTTGTTGTTATTGTTCTTTGTGTATTTATAAATCCTCTCAATTTTGCTGTTTATTTTCTCATAAGTTTAAACATCTTTTACAGCTCTATAATAATTTTCAAAAGCAAGGATACTGAACAAAGAATACTCTTTTCGATAACCCCTTCATCATCAGGCTCTACAGTTATATATCCATCCATAATAGTGAATGAATGAATTGGTGCTATGAACAACATTAATGTTGTTGTTTAAATAACATCGAATTGATAATATTGATGGATTACAGCTCAATAGCATCAATATAAAATAAGCTGAATGTCAGAAAGAATTAGGAAAGATAATATTACAAATTCATGAGTTTATAGTCTCCACTGAAGAAGGCCTACTAGGGCATTAATAGTGGCTGGACTTGCTTCTTTTGCGCACAAACCATTGGTTGTTTCACGCGAATTCCGATAGCCTCTGTTGTTTGGAGCATGCGGAACTTGGATGTTTTTTTTTGGCAAAAGGTTTTTACATCAAATTACCATATAATGGGGAAATAAACAGTAGGATTGTGAGACAAAGGTTGAATTCGATCATCCATAGAACCTATTATACATCCCAGCTTATGATTGTGGAAAAAGCTAAAAAATATGCTTCACTTCAAACCTCGTGTGCGTCGGTTGCACAGCAGTTAAGACACTCGCCGACCATGCATATGGTCCGGGGTTCGAGCCCCGGCCGGCGCACACCTTTACCTCGCTAAGCCAGTAGTGAGACTGGTAAGGAGGAGCGGTTGGGCATGAGGCTAGCAACCCCATCCTGTAAAAAATCAACACTGCTACGGAATCTTCAAGCCTATAGCTTGGAGCCCTATGTTCCACTGGGAACGCGAAGGAAAAAAAACTTCAAACCTCAAAAGTGCACAAGTGATTATATCACATCCCACACAATTTACCAATTTTCGTGTGTGTGCGTAGACATACATAATGAGGAGTAGTCGCGCTTTGCACGTGAGGGTGGGAGAGCATATCCCAAAATGGTTAGAAAAACAGATGAATTGTGACAAGCCAATAGATGCAGGTGTCAGACTACCAAATTCGTCTATAGCTAAACATCTAATCGAGATGAACCATAAGATTGATGTTAACTCAGCCTTTAAGGTCATCTATAAAAACGGTCAAGGGCGTTTACTGAAATACACTGAGGCTATAGCTATTCATAAACTTAAGCCCCCCAACCCTTGTGCACTCAAAAACAGTTTGTTATCACTCTTAACCTACCTTGGTGATCCTTATTTGATTGGATTACCAAACGTTGTGCTCATTATTCTTAATTCTTTTTTGTCACTTTGTTCAATTTAACTTCTTCATATATATCTACCGTTTTGACAAGTAAGTGTGTGAGAGATCAGATTGTTCGAAATGTATAGCGCAAATACATCACATAACATCACATTTTTCAGATAATCTCCGTCTTCTAATAACTCTATCAAAACTTATTTGGCACCAAGTAGATGGTGATAGAGAAGGATTCTTCAATGCTAGCTGCCTTTGTGGCCAGTTTGGACCAGATGGTCTAACATTGAACTGTTAATGGTTTTCACAACACCTTTACTTAGCCATACAGGGCGAGGTGTTCCTGAGTGAGCACGAACAATCAAGTTACTAGAGCAACAGACAATAAAACTCGCTCCACTGCAGACGCAGTTGAATGGTTGTTTCTCCCCTCACCCTCCTATGTCAAGAGAACATTAGACTCAATACTTTATAACTGCTAAGATTTCCATACTGTATCGACAATATTGTCACAACTGCTGAGAAATCCATGCTATTTGAAGGAGGAGAACACGATGTACATCAAAGATGGCGATCTTTTCGGCGACCTCATTTTCAAAAGTAGCTGTACAATCGCATTTAAATGCATGGTTTCACATGGATACGTAATTACAAAGGCGAATAAAAGGTGACAGTTATTTTCAACTAGACATGGATGGTTTTTACGAGAGGTTTAGAAACAAAATTACACAGGATTAGAACGGATATTAAGTGTGTAAAAATGAGCGTGGAAACAAAAATTGAAATAATAATAATTTTCAACTTGAAATGGGTAGGAGTTAGGAGGTGCGAATATAGATTACAAGAGTCTTAGAAACACAAAAATTGCACAGGATTAAGAGATAATTGTAAAATAGTTAATTTTTTTTAACGAATTATAAATGTGAACAGGAAGCGCATGGAAACAAACTTAAAATAACTGTTTTTATAACTGAAAACAGAAATGGGATGAATCGAATGAAAACAGAGGGAGTAAGAATCACACACACACACGCACACAGCGAACGAAAAAAGATCAAAAAGATAAAAGAGAACGAAAGAAGAAAAAAATTCCACGCTATACTATAAGTACAGTTTTTGGAATAAAGCAGATCATTATTATTATTTAATTGGTAGAATGCGCATTTCGTCCTATTTGGGACTCGTCATCCTACTGGATGTACCTGCATTCCGCTGTGAGTGACTGACTGATAATGTTCCCACCGAGGCTCAAACATCCAGATGACGAGTCCCAAATAGGACGAAATGCTCGTTATCCTGGTAGATTCCACTGCTAGTCTCACCATTCACCAATTAACCTCTAATTGCATGCACAGACATCGTCGAAGGAGCAGCTGGACAAGAAGCCGGCCGACATGTCAACCTGACACCGAGCACTTGAATCCAATCAATCGACGGAGTGATTCTAAAATTCACCTTAATCTTCTCTTTTATGCATATTGTGTCAATCATGTCGTTGTTGTTGTTGTCATCTTAGCTCATTTTTCTCCCGTGCCTCTTTCCTTTTTTTTAGCTGTTAATACGGACTATTTCACGATCAATACCTGGTCTGTTAAGATTCTGCGTTTGTGCTCTCATCCTGTTCTTCGCTTCAGTCTATGCGGTTGGGTTGTACTTGGACCGTATAACTTGAAATTTCGTACATTTATGTCAACTGTTGAATGCTTGTATAGTTTAATCAATGGAGATGATATGTTTGTTACATTTACAATCATTAATGAAAATGATCCAATTGGGATTTATCTATTCAGTCGATTATTTCTTTATCTTTTTATAACACTGTTTATTTATGTTGTCTTGAATTTATTTGTAACAATTATATTTGAAGCATATGAAGAAGTAAAGGTGAGTATTACTGAGGGGAATTTTGTTATTATTATTTATTATTGTTCCCTTGGGTTCCTAGTGGAACATAGGGCTTCAACTGCACGTCTCCACTTGCCACTTCTGTCTTCCTTCTGATGTACTATTCACCTCTATCCATCCATGTTAGTCCATACTCTTTCAACTCCTCTTTACACGATCTCCTCCGTGTTACCCTCACACTGACGTCCCACTCGCCACTTCCCTTTCGGCCTAATTCCACTCGATGGCTTGAGCGCGCGATGTCACCAACCGGCCTCCTCAGCGAGTGAGTGTCCAATGTGTCGTCTCCACTTTCTCCTGCATATTTGTTGTTGTTGGGCGATTGGTTCTTGTTTTGTTTGTTCCCAGCCATAGTTTCTTGTTGGTGGTGATTCTTTCCGGCCCGGCCATCTGATCTTCAGTATAGAGCCAGCGAAGACAGTTGTTGTTGTTGTTGATAAAGGTCTGCAACAGGCTGGTGTTGGAAATATTCCTTGTGACCCGCCCGTCCGCCAAGTTTCTGATCCGTATAGGAGAAGTGACTGACTTGACGTTGTTTGAATTGAAAATCCGATTGAATTTTGTTGTTGATGCTGGCTGAGTGAGGAAGATTTCCAGATTGGTTGTTTCAGGTTGATGATGTTGATGTGTTTCTCGCTCGCCTTCCCGATCCTCGCTCGATTTGACATCCTCGTCCGTTCCGACTGCGTGTAGCTGAGACAATGCTCCCTAGATAAGTGAGTGAATGAAGTGACCTCTTTCAAGTCCCTCCCGTTGATGGTGATTGGTGGTGAATGTTGCTGCTGCTGTTGTTGTTGGTTGGTTATTTTCATCACCTCCGTCTTGTCTATGTTCACCTAGAGTCCTTATCATTACTATACTGTAAGGTATGATGACGGCTGGCAGTGACAGATACTTCCGAGTTTATGTTCGATGATTGGAGGTAATCAGCAAGAAGCACTCACTGTCTGATCTATCTAGACTTTGTGCTTGTAGGCACTTGTGATGTCACACGCACACACAACAAGGCGTATCTGCTCTCTCTCTCTCTCTCTCTTAGGGAACTCATCGCCCGTATGTGAGATTCGAACCTACGTCACCCTGACTGAATGACTGACTGATTGGTTTCAACATGGAAATTTGCACCGATAGGAACCAGTTCGAGTCGTCACACTTCACTCACCACACGCACAAAGCAAGAGAAGAAATTTTAAAGGAGATTCAAAACAGAGATATGAAGCGGAAAGAATATTAATATGGAAGTTTTATTGGATATTATAAGTTACAAGGACTGGATACATTTGTGCCAGCCACTGAGAACAATTTCTAGCTAGCCATATTACCGATTGTCTTGAGCTGTCATGTCAATGAGGAAGTCTATACCTCCCTACGTGGCTGACTTAAACTAACAGTTATGAATTTCATCGACCGGTGAAGCCATGTTTTGGTTTGACCCACCACTAGGTAACTCCTCTCCAACCTGATAGTTCCTATGTCTGCGGCTAACATTACCCGTCGAGGAAAGCGATGGCTAGGTATACATGCATAACACATGTCCCAACCATCTAAATATTAATACTGCTCACTCTATTATACCATCACGTATTACGGCAGACAGGACGTAGGCACCTGTGATCAACGATAACTGGCCTTTTCATGTCTTTCACTTTCAATGACCAGGTCTCAAAGCCATAAAGCCACTGCTGTGCAGTACACACGTCTTTTGGTCCATAGCCAGCTGGATATCACATTTACGCCAGAGATGGCGTAAACTGCATATGCAAAACAAGCCTTCTGTATCCATTTCGAGATTTCGTTAGCTATCAACTCGTTGGTGCTGGCTAATGCAACAACTTCTTAAATAAGTGAACGATAGTCAACACGCTTTACCACTTCATTCCCTATTTCTGTGCTAGGAGTAGTCGATGTAGTCCAGTCGTGTGGCCTCATCATCTTACATTTGGCGGGAGCGAATCACATGCCAAACAATCGAAGATTGCTGCTTAGCTCAAGGTGTTCAGAAGACTCTGCTTGATTTTGTCAGCGTCCTCGCCTACAAGGGCTATGTCATCATCTGCATATCCTAAGTCAACGAGATTATACCCTGCTGATGACGAGTCAATCCCTGAATCTCTGGAGTGAATTAGGCTTAATTCCATTAATACATCTATGATGAAATTAAACAGAAGTTATGGGGACAGTGGGCATCCCTAACGGACACCACTTCAGATGACAACTCTCTGCACAGGCTGTCACTTGGCTGACTACATAAGTTCGAGTGCAGTGCCTTGATCAGTGCGATGTATTTCCTCGGCATTCCGTTCACAGCTTAACATCACCATAGGCTCTCTCGGTCGACAGAATCGAATGCCGCCTTTAGGTCAAGAAGTATAAGGATTGCTGGATGCCACCGGTAAGTATGCCTATGCTCCCTAAATGAGAAATATTTCTCTGTAAACGTATTTAGCTTGCATCACGATTGCCAATAATCTGTCATCGTCACCTTGTCACCCTGAGACCGCTGTCTAACAGGTCAAATTTGCTATTTGAGTTCCACTTGACAGCTTGGCTAGGGTGTGTGTGTGTGTGATGTCACCTGACGGTCTTTTCAGCATGTCTGCGATCCATCTTCATTTTTTCGGCACTATATTTGTTAGGTAGTATATATGTGTAAAACTTGGCAGGGCACTGTGGTAGTAAGTAATTCCATATTAGTTTGTTTATTAGATGTATCATACACACAGTGAGTGAAACAGTATTATTACATACTGGATGACACAGTTTCAAACACAATTCATCATTGTTCATAATCATATCAATCAATTATAATCACACGACTTCGAAACTTCAGTTTTATAGTTTTCTTTGTTTTCTCCTATTTGTCGTCATTAGGGGTAGTAGAATTTTCCAGATATCCTGGATAGGTGTTGAATCATTCAGTATTACACTTACCCTAGTCAGTTGATTCAATAAACAAAGCTTCCGTTAACAATCTCTCCCTCCACCCTGCTGTTACATTAGATTTTAAAACTGTCATCTTATTGTAAGGTTTTGCGTAGCTGCATGTAGTGTGGTGGTATAGCTGAACTATTCTCTAGATTTCTTATCTTATTCGGGTCAACCTATCTAGATTTTGTTGCTAGGCTTTTATGTTCGGCTAGTCTGACTGACCCTCTACTTCTTTGACCTATGTATTTCACCTCATTGACAATCATTGCAGGTAGGGTATTAGATAAACTAAATTGTTTTGTTTTAAAGACTCCACAGGATGATCCATTAACCGACAAAGCTTGTTTCTAATTAAGTTTGTGGGTGGGTGGGTGGTTTGAATGGCAGCAGTCACTTTTATTGCTGGCTGCCTTGTTAATAATTCTGCGTAAAGGGTTTCCGAGGTTCCTTCCGTGTATGGAATTACTACCGATGATTTAGATTCCTTATTGTTGGTGTCGTCATTAATATCATTATTGATAATGATAATAATAATATTAATATTAGTGACGATACCAACAATAAGGAATCTAACAGTTTAGTTTATCTAATTTCCTACCTGCAATGATTGTCAGATCAATCTACTAGAACAGGGTCAATCAGTCAGATTAGCTGAACATAAAAACCTAGCAGCAAAATCTAGATTGGTTGACCCGAATAAGATAAGAAATCTAGAGAATAGTTCAGCTATAATCACTCACTACATGCAATTACACACAACCATACAATATACGATGGGATGAGATAAGATGACAGTTCTAAAATCTAATGTCACAGGGTGGGTGGAGGGAGAGATTGATTACAACGAAATGAGGCTTTATTTATCGAATCAAATGAGGAGAGTACGTGTGTAATAGGAATGATTGAACACCTATCCCCACCGAGATATCTGGAAAATTCTAGTACCCCATACGACGACAAATAGGAGAGAACAAAGAAAACTATTAAACACAGGTTTCAAAGTTGCTTGATTATACTTGGCGATATGATTATGAAGAATAAATTTTGTTCGAAACTGTGTCATCCAGTAAATAATAATACTGTTTCACTCACTGTGTGTGTGTGTGATACATCTAATAAACAAACTAATATGGAATTATTTGTTAGGTAATTTTGTTTTGTTTTGGTTGATTTTTTTTTTACGCTGACCTATGTATTTTTGATTCATATCATGTCAGGATATGCAAAACTCTCGTGGACGTCCAAATGATTCACCCTTATGGCATTTTGTATGTCAGCATAATTATGATCCAAAATCGTCAATATTTAAAGAAGATGAATCACGACCAGATCGGCATATATTACAAGAACAAGCACAAGGTATTTTTGGTGCTGGTGCTGTTGGCGGTGCTGGTACTGGTTCTGATGGAGGTGGCAACAGTGGTATTTCAGGAACAAGACATTCATCAACAGATCGTTTAGATACTGGTAGTATAATAAGCACATCTGTGAAGTTTAAATCATTTCTTAAATGTCAACAAAGACAACGAGAACAACACCAACAGAAACAATCACAAAATTATCAACGTCAACAAAAAAGGCGACAACAAATCGATGAATATAAGCAGGAACAACCACGACAACAACAACAAAACTGTCGTTATCATCATTTACATCCAATGGGAAATGAAGAGATTGAAAATTCAATGAATCATAGGACATTTAATGTTCAACAGCAGGATAAAGCAGATGGTACCAGTAGTATTAGTAGTACAATTGATGAAAATGACGCCGATTGTCGAAAAATCATCATTGGTCATGATGCAGCTGATGATGGTGATGATGACGGTGATCATGACCACCATGGTGATGAAAATGAAGACAATTATGTATGCAATCGCTTTTCAGAATCAGTAAGTTTCAAAAAATATTTTATTTTTATGCAGGAGATTTTTTTGATTTTTCAAGTGTTGGTTGTTTGTAGGGATTTTGATTGATTGGTTTGCAGGATTTCATCATGAGCTGACACCAGTTGGTTAGAGAACCATTGGAAAACCTGCCAGGGAGTACTGACAGCTGTTTCGTCCGCCTAGTTTGGGACTCTTCACCAGTACGCATCCATCATTTATTTATTTATTATTTATTTAAACGCATAAAAACTTGGTACAATATGGCACCAAGAAGGATGCACCACACAATAATAATAAAACAACATAGATCAAAAGAAAAAAAGAAAGAAGAGAAAAAAGTGTATATATAAGTAGAGAACGGATAAAGAACTTCATCTGGAAGGAAAACAGTCATGCTTAACAAGTTCAAACAGTATTCGTTAACTATCATCGGGAAGGAAGAAAGAAGGAAATTGCAACATGTGTAATAGCACGCGATAAGTTTCATTGATTGTTTGTTGCTTCATTAAATTCATTGTGTGAGGGCCGAGATACTGCCCGGGCGCCCAGACCGAAGCAGGTGGTTTTATTAAGGGACCACCCCCGAGCCTTTGACTTGGAGTCTAATCCGCAAGGTAGCGGAGCAGCGTCAGGAGCTGCATTCCCATGGTTGCAGCCGGTGACCCATATGGGTTCATACGCCATTTGATCCGATTGGATACTGGAGCCCATGTGCCCCATGGTAACTGCTTTCAGTTTAACCGCTATCCAAAAAACCTTCCTGACATGGTAGGACCTGCAGGTACACAGAGTCCCAGTCAGTTTAGCATGTTGGGTCATTACGGTATTCAAGCCCGACCACCACGACAAGGTGGCAGTTATCGGCGGGGTTTGAACCCAGGACCATCTGGTTACAAGGTTAGCGAGCTCGTAGACCATTAGACCACTCACTGAGACCCGATCCAATGGCCAGCCCATGAATTCTAACTTCTGCCAATTCATGCACGACATAACGCGACCCCTAGCCAACGTTTTCGGCGAGTATTTGTCCACTCAACCCGACCTGCTGCATCCTACTGGTCACGACTTCTCACTATAGAACCCCAGGTAACTACCTACTTGAATAGAGCGAGTCGCTAGTGAGCATCTCATTGTTATTCAAGTGTTGCTTTGATTTTTATTTGCTATTTATATTATGAATGAATATCTAATAATTCTGAATAGTGTCAGTGACACAGAGGTATAATACTCACCAACCACGCGTCGTGTGGTCCGGGGTTCGATCCCCGGCGCCACTCCTCGCACAAAGTCAGTATAATAAGACTGGTAAAGAGGGAAGGTTGGCTAGGCATGAGGCTAGCTAGCAACTCCATTCCGTAGTAAAATATCAACATCCCACTGCTACGAAAACTTCAAGCCTCTCTAGGTTGAAGCCGTATGTCCCGATACTGATGGTAGAGTCGAAATAGTTCCCAATGTACTTCTCATGTCAACACTGTTTGTCAAAGTCGATGAGACGAAGGCTTGATTGGCACTCTGTAGAACCTTATTAAGGGTAATGTTATCTTTATTATTATTATTATTGCTCCCTTGGGTTCCTAGTGGAACATAGGGCTTCAACTGCACGTCTCCACTTGCCACTTCTGATGTACTATTCACCTCTATCCATCCATGTTAGTCCATACTCTTTCAACTTCTCTTTACACGATCTCCTCCGTGTTACCCTCACACTGACGTCCCACTCGCCACTTCCCTTTCGGCCTAATTCCACTCGATGGCTTGACGCGCGATATCACCAACCGGCCTCCTCAGCGAGTGAGTGTCCAATGTGTCGTCTCCACTTTCTCCTGCATATTTGTTGGTTGGCAATTGGTTCTTGATTTGTTTGTTTGTTCCCAGCCATAGTTTCTTGTTGGTGGTGATTCTTTCCGGCCCGGCCATCTGATCTTCAGTATAGAGCTAGCGAAGACAGTTGTTGTTGTTGATAAAGGTCTGCAACAGGCTGCTGTTGGAAATATTCTTTGTGACCGCCCCGCCAAGTTTCTGATCCGTATAGGAGAAGTGACTGACTTGACGTTGTTTGAATTGAAAATCCGATTGAATTTTGTTGTTGATGCTGGCTGAGTGAGGAAGATTTCGAGATTGGTTGTTTCAGGTTGATGATGTTGATGTGTTTCCGCTCGCCTTCCCGATTCTCGCTCGATTTGACATCCTCGTCCGTTCCGACTGCGTGTAGTTGAGACAATTCCCTCTAACCTTGCCAGATTACTAGCTTGCTAGGCTACTAGCTTTCTAGTTTTCTAGCCGCTCCCAAGCCCGGATAAAGAGGGAGGGTTGGGGCTTGGTGCTAACAACTCCACCTCTGTAAAACAACCAAATCGCTACAGAAACTTCAACAAATGTTATCTTTGCTTAGTCAATAATCTTTTGAAATTTCTAACCAGTTATCATAATTATTTTTTTTCAAATTTCTCTTAAATTAGCTAAACAATACTACAACTCCGACCATTATACCTGAAGAGTCAATAACTACATCCCAACAGAATAGTGATTCCCTTTCTGCACTGAAGGAGTCTTCACTAAATGTATGAAATATGGTAAATGTGAGTAGTAAGTATTCTCATAAGAACTGTATCTCTCCTCATTGATCGTGTCTTTCTGTACTCTCTTTCTCTCTCCCTCTCCTCTGTTATTGTTCCACATCACTTTCATCATCACGGTGCATTTTCTTTTCTCACCCCGATATAACACACGGCCATCATCATGACATTCATGGTTACTATGTTTGTGTTTATTTTTTTTTGTTTTTTGACCACTGAGGTGTGTGTGTGTGTATAGTCCCCCCGCCCCCGCCTTCCTCTCTACTGGCGTCCTCTCTCTATTCTCTCTGCTTCTATGAATAAGTGTAGTTGATGAGGTTATTCATTGGGGTCTGACTGTAACTATTCTTTTTTTTGAAAGAGAAAATGAAGCTGCTTTCCTTTTTTGGCCTTGATTTCCCCTTAATACTTCCTCCTTCTATTCACTCACGATATTGTACACACACACACACACACACAGATTCACTTGTATGTATACAATTTTGATTTTATTGTTCTTAAATAATGAATTGAATTATTAAAACAACCTTAAAAAAGATTTAAGTTATAATGCCCTTATGTTTTTCTTTTCACACTGATTGATTAGACAGAAATGTTCGACCTCTGTCTGTTGACAAGTCGGTCGGTCCCTAGCAAGGAAGCTTCGACAATATGTGTGTCGGTGGCACAATGGTTAGGACTCTTGCCGACCATGCACATGGTCCGGAGTTCGAGCCCACGCCGACGCACACCTGATATCTATAGTTGGCCTGAGAAATTCGGGCTACCGATATCCATGCTGAAAATTCCATACTTGTACCAAAAATACGGTGTGGAATCAAGCTGTAATCAAAATAAAAAAAGTATCTGGGTATTACTATTATTTCGATAGAGAAAGAAAGATCAGATTTACAGTATAAAATAATGATGCCATCATCATTCTATTTCACAGGTTCCCCTCATCAGCTGCTGCTGCACACCAATGCCTGAAATTACAATGGTCATCTATAATAACATTTCGGTAAAGTTAAACTTTCGACACCACTAACAACCAACCAATCAGCAAACGACCTTGAACGGACCAATCACATTAAAGAGGCATTTATGATAAATGGAAACGTATATTTATTGTAAAAAGCATTAAAAAAAAGGATAAACGATTACAAGGGGTATCTTTCTCGAACATGTGAGAAAAAAACATCTCCCATTTTAGCATAGGACTGTCAATGGAGATGTCACACTACATCCTGTACATATATTCATCGAAATGACGCTAAATGAGATCCATTTATAGCCCCTTATCCTGTTTTTCAAGCGGCCCCAAAACCCTTCAATGGAATTCGTATGAGTCCTCGTAACGGGATCCACCTAGCGAACAAGTGATTTTTTATATTTTCCACGAAGCAATGTCTCTGCAATGCTGGTACCACTGAATTGTTAAGACGAGGTTATTCTCCGACTCGACAGCTGCTGCTGCTCTCACCGGCTGTTTCAACACCCAATAGTTGCAGATATACAAAATCTGGGTTAGGGAGAGATGCGACCTAGCGAAAAAGTCCCCACGAAATATTAAAATTATCAGCTCACCCTTAGCACGCTTCAAACACCTAACACAACGATGAACAAATCCATGAGTTGGTCTGCTATAGCTATACCGCCACACGAACAAGTTCGCTCCTTCCGGAGTAACCCTAAATCCAGGCAATACTGGAAAACACTGTCCTCCTCAAAATACAACCGTAACTTTGTAAGGTCACGCATGTGAGAAATAAATCAAGCGCTATACAACATTGAACTACGTTCGTGAATCTCATTGGATAATTTGACGTCGTTCGCTGATTGGTAGTTAGTGGTGTCGAAAGTTTAACTTGGCCCAATTATTTTTAGTTTAAGTTAACATCAGTTTATATAAAATCAAAGTATGAAAAGAAAAACGGGGTGAGAGAAGACAGAAGAATCTAATAAACAGTGTTAGCTGGTACGTCAACATGGCAAATCAAGAAGGTCAAAGTTCATCAATTTGAAAACTTGCTTAGTGAGTTGAGCCCACTGGTGTGTATGACTAGTCAATGTAATGAAGGTGATATGGTTCGTTACCAAGGGAGTGAGAGATTGACTACATACTCTCTGTTTGTGTGCATAAGTTTGATCTGAGACGACTGATTGTAATTACCTCGACAGTAAATTGTAGTGGATTCGCTGTCCTTTGTATGTTTAATATTTCGAAGGAAATTTGGAAATCTCGACAAAATGACCCGTATCCACAGTATGGGTGTCTGGCAATTGCACTTTGTAAATATCTGTTTCTTTTTAAGCATAAGTTTCTTGGAATATGCTCTGAAAACAGCAGATAGAAGGTCTTCTTTCTATCCTTCTAATGTACTTGCTGCCGCCGGTGCACGTAAATTTATAAATGCAGTTGGAGGTAACATCATCAACAGGGTACTTATCCAGTTTCGAGTGGCTTATAGAGCAAGCATGTAGTGCTGTATAGTGTCACAGATTGGCTGCAGAGAAGCATCTTTTCATATTGCTCCTTTCATCCTCTTTTTAATCTTTTGCAATACTGTATGTATGAAATTATTATTATTATTATTATTGTTCGAATGAGTTTTGAGTGGAATATAGCATAGGACTTCAACAGTACATTGCTAATTTATCCTAATCACTGACGTCTCATTTAGCTGACCTGACGATTGCTCCTAGGCTCTTCTCATCTTCTTCTTGAACAACTTTCTCCATGACAACCTTGTATACATATATGCCCTTAGGCATCCTTTCTCATTTGAGAGTTTGCTTGGCAGGCGATGTTACCAGAAAAGGCTTCCTTGGTATGTGTGTCCCATGAGTCTTTTTTTCATCCGACTATCGACCAAAGGGTGGGTGTACTGTTCATCACTCCGCTCCGTCCTCCTTTATGGCTGTTAGACATGAAAAGATAGCAGTCTTTAATCGTGGGTGCCTGCGCTCTATCTCCCGTGTGAAGTGGTATAATAAGGTGAGCAATATTGAGGCTAGGTAAGGAGGGAGGGGAAATCAATCGAAGAGGCTATGAAGCTACATTGACTGAAATGGTTAGGACATGTGTTACGTATGCCTAGTCATCGCCTTCCTCGACAATGGGGGCAATGTTAGCTGATATGCGGGTCAGGCTGGAAAAGAGCTAGTAAGTGGTGGTCAAAACAAAACATGGCTTTACCAGTCAATAAAATCCACAACAGTTAGTTCAAGCCAGTCACGTAGGAAGATGTAAACTTTCTGGTTGCAATCCTCGGGACAGTAAAAACCAATGAAGGCTGGAGACAATCGGTGATATGGCTCAAAGTGATCGTTCTCAATGACTGGCTGGCTGCAGATGCATCCACTCCTTGTGACTTATGACTTCCAACCAAACTATATTGTTCTTCGTTACTACTATTACTTTGTCTCAAACCTCTGTTTACTGTCTCTCTCTATTATGCATTTCTTCTCTTGCTTTGTGTGCTACATGAAGGGAGTGTGGCGACTTGCACTGCCGCACATCGATGCAAAGTCCTATGTCCAAAACGGAGAGACAGACCGATGAGTAATTCATTTTCTTCGGCGGAATTGTTAGGCAATGGGTTCTGTTGATTTGGTGGATTGCTCGCCAGAGTTGCTTGTTTGCACACATTCTAGTCGGTCGTTTGATTTCCAGTGTGGAATCAACGAAGCCAGATGTTGAGATAGTAGTCTCAAGCAATCTATCGAAAATGATTTTCGTGACGCTAACGCCAAATTTCTCACTCATGTAAAAGAATTAACTGCCTTAACACATATTGGCGTTGTTTAATGCTGAGTGCAGAAGATTTCAAAATGATAAAGGTTGTAGCGATAAATAATTCCCTAAAATTATTGACCACACCACTAATCACTGAATTTGGGATGCTGATCCTCACTGTTTAGAGTCGACTTGCTTAGCTGGAGACTTCCCGCCAAGCATCTACGCCATTCGGTACTCCATTGTGTCACGTTCGTTCATCCTTTAGTTCGTGCACAATCCCTAGCCACCTAATCAATCCAATCATCTCGCACTCCTATTTGGTCCCGAAATATATCTCGTGATTTGGACGATCATATATTGTCTTTTGCTTTTGGTCTACGCGGAACGAATACTATAAAAGTTGTAGGTATTAGATCTTGCGTTAGTCTACTTCGTACTATCCGTGAACGTCAATACCGTCAGCCTCTAAACTGGTGAGCCCGACGTGATCTACCGCTGGTGGGAAGGTAGAGGGAGAAACAAACTCACCTGGCAGTCGCGGTGTTGTGCCATATACTAACTCAGCGATAGTACAACCAGCATCAGTTTCCAAGGCGTTTTTTATGCCTAGAAGAACGAATGCAAGTGATCCAGTCCAATGTGCATTGTTTACAGTTGATAACCCAGCCTTCAACTGTCTGTGTAGACACTCTACCATACCATTAGCTTGAGGATGGTGGACTGTTGTTTTAAAGAGCATACAACCTAGGATTTTAGTCAGGGCGAAGAATAAGTCACTTTCGAATTGCCGCCCACGATCAGTTGTTATGGAGGATGGGCATCCAAAGTTTGCGATCCATCTTACGAGAAAGACGCGTGCGACTGTCTCAGCTAATACATCCTTGAGGGGTACTGCTTCAGGCCATTGTGTGAAATGGTCGATGCAGGTTAAAATATAAGTATATCCATGGGATTCCGGAACGGGTTCAACCAGATCTATATGGACGTGTTCGAAACGAGCGTCAGGGATAAGAAAGGTGCCAAGAGGGCTTTTGGTGTGTCTTGCTACCTTTCACTTTTGACAGGCTAACTAACAAAACCGACTAGTTACGAGCTTGACGGTAGTTCGGATACGTGAGTGGGATAAGCTATGCAACTTATTGAAGACGTTACAGCGACAGCTTTTAGGCACGATGGGACAAGGAGTACTCATGGAAATGTCACATAGAATAGTATCTCTTCACATACCTAAGGATTTCTTGGCTAATCGCAGAGTTGTTTTCGACAACTC